GTTGAAATAAGGTAAAAACAGCAATTTTGGAAATACTACGTAACTTTTGGGTTGGAGGGGGAGGGGCTCAAGTCAAAAACTACGGCAGGTAACGAAGGGGGGAGGGGCAGAAATTCGTGAAAATCGGTCACGTAGTATGGGTACGATCCCTTGCCTCCCCGGCGAATGCCACCTTCTCCGTTCGTCTAACATATTTTCGCAACATTTCCCCCTGTAAAGTAAACATTGGTTGGGCTCCGGTACGTTTCGCCCAATCCGTTGAGGTTAGGGTGCCAAAGTTCCCCCTTGTCGACTTCTCGGAGTCACCTGATTTATTTTATGGTATTCCAGACAAGAATAAATGCGCAAATAGACCAAAGCTCGTGAGAAAATGAAAATTTAGGGGTGTTCAAGGTGCCCCACAAAAAGATAGTCATGGTGCCCCAAAGAGTGAACTAAGAAATACCGGGCCATAGCGGCCACAAGGATTGGTCCCTTGACGCGTACCCAGGTTGAATCGTAGTCTATAGAAATCAGAAACGCTGCATAGACAGTCAGCCGCATCATTTCTAATAGCAAAAGCAGTTCAAAACCAACTACTAAATATTACATCTTACCCCAGTTTTGAAGCCTAGCTGCGTCGCTCTTCTGTTGCGCAGCAGGGAATGACAACACTACCACCACCTTGTAAAAATTATGTGAGCAGTTGAATATCCAGAAGGGGCCAAGCCCGAATTTTCCATATGGTACGCGGTTCTTTCGAAAGGGAAGGGGTGTTCAAGTAGCCCCAGTGGTCAAAGTAGCCCCGGTCTCCCTTATTTCGAGTAATAAAGCAAACGATATATTGTTCGTGCCAGGCCTGTTTGAACCACATATTTGAGCAAAAGCTGTGAGATATATCGGGAACTAACCATAAAGATTGAAGTGCTAATCGAGCTTCGGAATAGCCCGCGCTTCCCCTACAAAGCATGAGTATAGGTTTTCCGCTTTACCAACCATAACTCTGGCCCTATAATGTCCATAAGGCATGATAGGAACCTGTGGAAAAGTCCAGTCAATTGGGGTATTATTGAACTCGTAAACTCCCTGTTAATAAAAATCATCACAGACCTCACAGTTAAAATACTCTTGTGTTGTATGAAGAAGCAACAATTTTTACTATTCAAGCTTAAGATGTCAGAAAATTAAGTATGTATATACGTAACAGTGTGATGATATCAGACTTGCAGTCTAATTTACTTACAGGGTGAAATATGCACGCGCCGTTAACTTCTCTCTTCTTGAAGACCAGCTTGTAAAATGCAGGAGCATGTACTTTAGCAATTTGGCATGCCTGGTTTTTAAATTTAAAGACAAAGGCGTTTTCCTTCCACTGGTTGTTTGACCGAATATCGATTATTGTTGTAGCCTGTGATATGATATCGTACATGGTTAGTAATATGCAGATGGTAGTACTGGCTCCCAGAGTCAATATTCGACTACTACAGTCAAGAATCGGTTAAAACAGTTCATAGTTATTCTAGAAACTTCTTAGGTTATTAGTCCGAATACCAACAAATGTATACATCCATATGCATAATTTTAGCTTTTTTCCGTGATGTTTGAATGTTACACACTTCTATTTGCAATATCTTACCCAGTTGCTGTTATCAATGATTCCACTTGTAGACGTCACATTGCCTGTCATTCGCTGCAACTCATTTGGTCTCAGCGGGTTGAAGTGAGTGGTACGCACAAACCATCTCCAGGGAAGCGGGCGGTTGTCGGGTTCGCACATGTAAAAGCGCTCCCCGTAAGCAGTGTAAGGGCCCTATTACAAACAGGGAATGGACACCTGCTTGCGGTTAGGAAAACCGTCGCGTCGAAGGCTGACTTTTGAAAATAACATCAAGGGAGGCCTCATTATTCCATTACACTAAATGTTATTTAACAGATCCGTCTTCTATGTGATCACGGTAAAGGCAGCATAGGCCGCATTTGAAATACTAATTGGCGTTCAGAAAAGGTACAACCTACCATCACAGAGTTGATATATCTGCCGTGGATGGCCGTCGAGCACATGAGAGCTAGAGCCACGAGTGTGCTTGCCATGATCCCCGGAGCACTGTTTCAGCGGCACTGACTGGATGCTGGCTCAGTGAAGACCAATAATGTGCTATGCGGCCATGCGTGACCCGCTGGTGGGCTGGGCTGCTGCCGTGAGGGCAAAAGGGGCATTTGAAGCAGTACATACACCAGTAATGGGATTTTATACCGCGATAATACGCGAAACAGAAGGTTGCCAACGGTATTTCCGGTGTTCGTCTAGTTGTCTATCTACAGATATCTACAGATTAATGAGCCGATCGCGGTACTTGTTCGCGTGCGACCTCCAACTGGACCTTGTTGGACGTGTAATGGACGAACACTCGTCCAGCAGAGTCCAAAACAAATGTATTTGGACGTCCAGCTACATCTGGCGCGACGTCTGAACAACGTCCAGAATGAACCGTAACGTCCTGTGCGACCAGAAACGTCTGGCAAATCGGTTGGACGACCTCGCCGTCCAAAACTATGCGGTAGTATCTAGGTACCCTATGGCGGTCTAGACCCGTCCACATCGCGACTGGCTGGTCCGGCGTCCAGAACAGACCCTTCCAGTCCAGCCAGCCCCCACTCCGACCGCCTCTGGACGTCCTTACACGCCCGTGAGTGTCTAGCTACACAGAAGGGACGCCTTGAACGTCCGACATTGACCACTGTGAAAAAAGTAGGTAGGTTTACAGGAAAATTTTCCTTGACGCAATTGTAAAATTACTAATTGTAGTCGTAAAAAATACATGCAGTATGTATCGACTTGTGATGCACGTTGCACAAAACTATGATATCTCAAGGTATCGCTCAACTAAGTGATGGCCATCACATAATATAAGCAATGAATTTACTGTTGTACTATCTCTGTGATGATTATCACAACATTGAGCAATATCATCTTTATCACAGGAAACGTGCAGTCAGTATCACACTCTGATTTACAGTTATTTTTTAGAGTGTACATGGGATAGCCGTTTGATGGTTCAATGGTTCACCCATCGGCGCCAGCTGACGTGTGTTGGCGCGGTGCTCGATCCACTGCCGGCCTGACTAACCACCCTGTATAATAATTATGCTCGCAGCACGCTGTCGTTGTCTGCCAGGTAGCGTGACCCCCGCCCTCATATCGCGTGGGGCACCATAACCACCCCCTCCCCCAACCTTGCTTCCCGCAAATTAAGTAAATCCTTCAAAGGGCAGCAGAGCCCGACCAGCCCCCCC